GACATGCTCATTTCAGTAGCTCACATCTCTGTAACTGATAATCCTGGTGGCACCACAAACTCCCTTGACTGTGAAATGCCCATCCCTCCTGTGTGTGTGGTTGTCTGTGATGTACAGCCTCTGCTTTGTGGCTCCTCTTGCTGCCAATGAAACCATTGAAACTCCACTGCAGTTAGGCTCAGATTTCATTGGAGACAGTAGACGATGAAGATACATCACTTAGGGGTGGAAGAAAGTTAGAGGCATCTTCTCTTTAGTTAGTTGCATCATGATCAATAGTACTGTCCCCTTATTTTTCAAAGCTGTGAGTCAAGCATACTGTCAGAACTTATTACCCAGTCGTTGCAGTACAGAGCACATGTCCTCATGTGCTTGTACACTGCCCTTTAGCAGTATCTGTCCTAACAGAAAGTTATAGGAAAAATCACTGAGGAAGAAAAAGCATTAAAATTAATGTCAATCATAACCTTGTTAGCATCTTTTTGTATTAAAAAACAGGAAAGAAAACAATATTGCTTACTGTCTTAGTCTTTTGCATCGTGCATTCCCCCAGTAAATGTTGCACAGAATCATAATATTTGTCTTTAAGTTGGTGATGTCAATTTATTGATTTGCTTATTTTATTTGAAGGTAGACATGTAGCTACTGAGAACTTCTCTAGCTCAAACCCCAGGTTTTATTGGTTTAAATTACTAAAAGCAGCTCATGCAGCTCTGAGTGTGGCAGCCAAATTATTAGAGCTTGTTTGGGTAGAGAGGAGGGATCATTGGTTGTTTGCTTCTTTTTGGCTGCCACGATTTTTATTTCAGTAAGGTACAGAAGCGCTTAGTAGTGAGAAGCTCTTGCATAAAGAAATGGTTCATCTTCGAATTAGTATAATCTTCCAGCATCATACCATTCTTGCTAAAAAAGTTGTGTAACTTGTAATACTTGGTGGGTGTCACACAGTCCTTTGCATCCTGATCACCCACAGCAGAGGAGCTGAAGATACAACAGCTCCATTTAAAGCCCACTTGGGTCTGCCCTGTTGGAAAGTGAAGGAGGAAGATGCTTTGACAGGCAGTGAGCAAAGTTATGCAAGACCCACAATGTAGATGTAACCATTTTCAATATGAGGAAATGCAAAATGGCAAAAGGCAGTGAGGTATAGATATCAGACATAATTATCTTTAAAAGAAGAATTAATCTTTTTAGCTGCTATCAATTGAGAAATTATTTCCACTTACGTACAAATTTGAGTGTACTCGTATCCCCAAAGAAAAAAAAAAAAAGCACTTCAAAGCATCTGGAGACAAATGAGTTATTGCAATAATTAAAATGAAGAGCTGTCCTTTGAGTATTTGCAATACCGTGCCTCTAACACCAATCTCAGAATAGTTTATACGTTTTTATATCCAGGATGGACCTCTATTATAAGTGCATGCTACCTGTCTGGAATTTTATAATATTTCCAGTAAATCCTTTTGGTTTTGTTGTTGTTTTTCTCATTATATACTTGGTGTTTGGATATGTATTATTTTTTCTCCCCCCCGCCTCGCCCAGATCTTTATCTTGGTAGTGATTGTTCTAGCAGTGGTCTTGACCTTCTGCTGTTCCAGTATTAACTTTTAGAAAAACCTCATACAGCTGTTTAACTTCTTGGTACATTATGATTGTTTGGATGCTCATCAATGGATACTAATTTATAAGATCTATTTTTTCTCTTTTTAGAGGTTTTGAATAAGTATATACATCTTGTAAGCTTTTGATTTAAAGAAAAGTTCCAGATCAGATATAAAGTCAAAGCTCACATTCATAGGCCATACAGAAATAACCATAATGGTGGGACAGCCTTCTTAGGAGTCAATACAACGCAATAGTTCAAAAAGATGATTATCAAGAGTATGCTTTTTTTTTCTTCTGTCACTACCCAATGCAGTGTTTTCAAATTCATCCTTTAGCCCATAATTTTCAACCACTTAATTCTAGATCAGTCCTTGTTTTAGCTTCAGACCTTCCTGAAAGAGAGGACAAACTTAAGGAGAATATCTCTGCACACTCATTTGCATCCCTTTCAATGTAACTTTCCTATGCTTACACGTGTAGGAAAGTATTTAATACCATTGTTTATTTTTTTATCGTTAAAAATGTAAATAAGTTTAAGGGTTATGTAGAGTCATCTGTCTTTCATGTTTCTGTATTTGGTCAGGCAGAGGTGGAATTAATTTTCCCCACAGCAGCTCCCTCGGTGCTGTGTTTTTGGAGTGGTAGCTAGTAGGGTGTTGATAACACCCCAGTGTTTTGGCTACTGCTGAGCAGTGCTCACACAGCACTGAGTCTGTGGTTTTCCAACATTCCCTCAAGAGTAGGCTGGGAGTGGGCAACATCTTGGGAGGGGACACAGCCAGGCCAGCTGACCCAAACTGACCAGAGAAGAGAGAAGGGGAGCAGCATTCATGGATTATGTTTGTCTCTCAGAGCAACCGCTATGCATATTGGAACCCCACTTCCTGGGAAAGTGGCCAAACATCGCCCACTGATGGGAAGCAGAGAATGATCTTAGTTCGGCTTTGCTTTGCTTCTGCTGTATTAAACTGCCCATGGGCCTCTTGCTATATTTTCCCTCTCTGCTATCTAAGAAGGGGGAGCAATACAGTGGCTTTGATGGGCTCCTGGCCTCCAGTCAGGGCCAAACCACCACATCCATGCCTGTTAAGGAGGAGGGAAAGGGAAGAAAGGCACAAAAAGGTGTTAACTTTGTTTTCAGTAAAACTTAGAATCACTTCATGGTTGAGGTTGGAAGGGACCGCTGAAGGTCCTCTGGTCCTCTGCTGAGGCAGGGTACTTATTATAAAGCTTCAATTATTATTTTCCTGTAGCAGCAATTGAATGTGTAAGTGACATTCTCTAAGAGTACAGAGAGATTCTGTCACACTGAAGGACATACATTCATTTAACGTCAGTTTGAATATACGAATGTTGTATACTAAGTTCTTGTCTCTTTATGGAGAAGCAATAGCTTTAGTTTTCCACATACAAAGCGCACCTGTACACTCTGTATACATATATAGATAGTGGTGCTCTCTGTAGACCTGCTGCCCTTTACAGTACCGGGTATAGGCTCCTTAAAGGAATTAACTCAAATTTACATTTGAGGGTCCAGAAAATTTATCTTTCCAGATAGTTCTCTTCACTGGGAAATTCTGCTTTATTTGCCAAAGCTCTTCATTGCTCTTTCCCATTAAAGATTTGTGCAAAAGCAGTCAATTATTTTATTAGAAGTTAGAAATAAAACTTATTAAAGAAATGAGAACTTGAAAATTGCCAATACTCTCCATGATATTTATATAAAGTTGCTTCATTTTCTTTGTTGCATTTCTGAAATTTTTATTTTATTCTGGCTTATTGCATAATAACATCCTGAAGAACAATCCTATAATAAAACAGCCCATAAAGTAGATGGTGAAATCAATTGCATATGAAGTAAAATATTCCTCTTCTTTTGAAAAATTTTTACTTTTCCATTTCACAGTTCTATCACTTAAACTAATAGAACATATATTTCTTTTAGTATGTATTGATTTAGAAGTCCTCAAGAAAATAATTTTCAAATTATACTTGAAAGGGCAAATAGGCATTTTCTTAAAAATTGGTTAAGCAGATATATGAAAGCTTAAAGAATATTCTTAATTGGAAAACAGTCCACAAAGTATCACGAAGGTGGAAGAGAAAGAAGGGGAAGGTGATAGTAGTAACCCCATTAAGACATTTGCATTAAATGACATAAAATTATGTTTTGATGTTATAACAGTATTCAAGTAATCTGTCAGAAGAAAAAAAATCTTGCTCTTATTTTGGCAACAGGCGTAGATACGACTGCAAATGGACATGTACCACTGCACTGCTGACTCACGCATCCCTTCAAGGCACAGTGACACGAAGCGAGCAGTGTCAATGTGCAGCACCGACATGCAAAAAACACAGTTCCACTGCCCCGTGGAATAGATCACATAGGGCAATTGTCACTAGCCAGTTTCTGAGCTAGACTGACACTTTCTTGAACTATCTGGGCACACGAACGATTACTAAGGCAGCTTTTGGTTTTTTCTGCTCGTTTATCGATGAGATACAAGTCCTCTGTAAGGGCCATCTGACTTCACCAACACTGTAGTTGTTGTTCTTCTGAGAATCACACTGTAAAAAACAATCTGTAGCATTACTGTCTGTTAAGGAAATGTCAGCTGAGTCATAACATTACAATATTTTTTCTGAGAGTTATAATGAAGTCAACAAGTAAAATTAGCTAAGCATCAGCTTTCATAATACTAATACAGAAAGCAAGATCAGGTGTGAAATACATTTATCTGAAGTGTATGAATGTATTTTCAAGGTAAAAGACTGTACAAAATGAGGTCCTAACCCTATAATCATTTAATAATATGCATAGTTTTCCTCATACTAATTTATTTAAGACTAAGTGTGTGCAACTGTTTCCAGATTAAATATCTTGGATTAACTTCTTTGAGGACTTTTTCATTCTACTTTCATTCAAAAAATTACCTTTACAAGAGTAAACACTGTTTTGGCACCCTCTTAAACCTTTCAGTAACTCTGTTTAGCACCACTGTTAATGAATTGTATTTGAAATGTGGAAAATGACAACTTATATCAACTATTTACTGTGTTGAGTATTTAAAACGCTTTCCTTAGCCTGCATACTGATACTCTCAGTCTTAGAATGTTAAGATGTGATGTTATTTGCTATTAAATAATTACATTTATGCTCTGTGACCCTATCTGAAATTTGGCAATGGGAATATATCATATAGAAAAGCTGGGGTTTGTGATTTTTTAAATCAGGTTGTACGCATGCTTAATCTTCATTACTGTTTATTTCCATTAATTTCTGAATAGTTCATTTCTAGAGTTCCTTTAGCTTTCTGGTCTACAGCTTAACATCTTTAGAAAATGCTATTCGTTAAGATTAATTTTATTAATAACTTAATTTTCTTTCCTTCAAGACACACTTTTTAATGGTCTTGGACTTGGTGCTGTCATTGGCCTGGGAGTGGCAGCCCTTTTGTTAATCCTGGTTGTGACTGATGTTAGCTGCTTCTTTGTACGACAATGTGGATTGCTAATGTGCATCACCAGGAGGATCTGTGGAAAAAAGAGTGGTTCAAGTGGAAAAAGTAAAGAACTGGAAGAAGGGAAGGCTGCTTACTTGTGAGTATTAATCACATATTTTGGAAACTTCATTACAAGAAAAAGTTGGCTCTCCAACTTGTAGTAACTTTATGGCCATTTTGTGGTCTGGCAAAGGAAATTAATAAAACTCTTCTGTTACTTGGAAAACCATTCCTATGAAATGGATAGAATTGTTTGTGGTCAAATATTGCCTTAAAAGAAAAATGGATACAAAAAAGGCATTTACCATACCTCACTTCCAGATCGCCTCTTTGTGCAGTTTGACACAAAAGAAATCAATCATAATTCAGTAACAGTTACAGGCACATCGTTGATCCATGTGGAACAGGTAACAGATCATTTTAACTTCGTTTCTACAAATCTATCTTTCAGCCGTTAATACCCAAAAGCTCAGCATATGGTTGTGGCAGTGCCAGTAAATCTGGGAGTGAGAGACATGGTATTATAGGTAATCTGTGAAAGAGTTTTTCTTCTCAGACATAGCATTTGATGGAAAATTTTCTTTCTTGACCATAGACTTTAAGAATAAAAAGTATTGTTGATTTTTAAAAATAAGAGTACTGAATTGGAGGTGGATGAAGTGCTGGTGAGTATGATTGTTCTTCATAGCAACAGTCAATGATTGCTAAACATAAATGCGGAATAAACAACCCTGATTCTCAGAAATACCCTTGTGTAGTGGCTAATTCGTCAGACAAATGGGAATGAACTGATCATTTATGTGCAAATATATTCCCTTAAATGAGAAGAGTGGATAGTGACATCTCTGGCAAAACAGTTCAAGTACTGATTGCATGAAGTAATAGCTCTTTAAAGACTCAACATTTACAGGGTTTTGAAAAGGTAAGCTGAGGAGAGGATTACTTATGGTCCTTCATTTTAGGCAGTTCCTTTTTATCACTAAACAAATTGTTTAATCTCCTCTTTATGTTCATCTGATAGACTTCTTATGCATACACTGTAATATTTCTGAGAATGTTTTAAATGGTTTAAGTAACATTTACTGGTCCAATTCCAGTGTCCTAGTAGTTAGGCCTTGCAGTTCATTCTCTTGCAGCTTCCCAGGTACCATCCTTCCCCAGATGCCTGTAGAGCAGATCAGATTTTGCAGCCCTCATTATTCACAGCTGTATCAGGCTTCTTCACTGTTGGTAGTGTAGGTGTGTCTTTCTTTGGTTTTAATCCTGGCCATTGGGTGTCTTTCTTAGGTAACTCGATTACATTTCTTGGTAACAACTCTGTAGAACAAAACCAGTCCTAGGCAGGCACAGAGTATTTACATCAAATAATGCTTCTGAACAGAAGTTATACCATAAAACAGCTTATTCCTAATTCTCCACAGCTTTCTGTAAGAGGAAGAATAACAGCATTTTTTTTTTGTTTTTTTATGAAGCCAGCATGTCCAGTTCAATAAAATCAAGAGCTTCTGGCTCTGACTCAGCTGTCTTTTCTTACTGAGAACAGCACTTCAATTTGTGCTTTAATTTCCCATTCAGGAAGTGTCCTAGTACAAATGGGTGTGCAGAGCCTCCTGAATGGGAAGACCTTAGGGAACTGAAGTTGCAAATGTCACTTGACAGCAGTTTATACCTTGCTATCAACATCTCATACACAAATGCCATTCCCTGCTGTCCCAGAAAAGCATAAAAGTGGTCACTTAATATTAGTTCATCCATGACACTTCTTTTGCAAAGACAACTATCTTAATGAAATACTATATTTCTTTCCTTGTGGGGGTGATCTTCAGCCGGCCAGATCTTAAAATATTTGTGGTTGTTTTTATTTTAGCCTGTTCTCTTCACAAATGAAGTGTCAGGCTAAAATGTCAAGACAGGCTTGAAGAGTCAAAATTTGAACTTACTTCATGCCAACTGCCATACCCTAAAAGACGCTGACATTTCCCTGTTTTAAATATGTCAATTTCCATCCCTGATTTTTGAGTGGATTTATGGTATGGTTCTTTGTTGCTTTTTGATTGTAGGACATATATGTATTTGTTAGTGATGTTCCACATGTGATGACCATAGATGATGCAATACATGTAACATGCGGCCACCTGGAACAGAAATGATATAAGGCACTTCCTCCAGATCACTTTCTCTCCTATGGAATTTTTAATTGTTATGCAGTTTGTACTTTCTGTACAGATTAGTTCCTCAATCCCATGTGAATACTCTTTGGAAATCATGTCTTGTAGGCTTTTAGTTGTGCAATAATTTGTGTTTGTCTGTAAGACTGTAGATATACAGAAAAGCTGAATAGAACTTACAATTCCCTCTGCCAGTCCTACAATAAACCATATTTTTTTCACAGATATGAAGTAGTCATGACAGTTATGTGAATCATCTACAGAAATAAGCATTGTATTCATTTCAGCATCTTAAAAGAGAATTTAACTTGCAGAGGTAAATCAGCACATGCAGTATTTAAAAAAAAAAAAACACCAGAGTGTTTTAGACTTCTACCCCTTAATGCTTCCGTAGTCAACTTCTTGGTGACACATTTTTCTGTGGTACACTCTTACTAACTTAAAAAAATATTCCTTGAGGATACCTATGAGGATGGTAAAAGTTTTCCAGGTACCTCCTGAAGAGATGGATTATTGTAGTTTAACATTCTGTGTAGCAATTATCTTCTCAGGAGCGATATGAAAATGTGAGATGAGAATTAGACAATTGTTTAACTGGGTCTTTGCTATGGCACATAGCAGTCTGACTGCTCTCTAGAAAATCACAGGTCCAGAAAACAGTTTGTTAAATATAAAGGTGATTGTTCATCTGTAACTCAGTTACTCTGTGTTTCCAGACTTCAGCTGATGAAGTTCCAGGACACAATTCCTGATCTGATGACAGGAATAGAAATGAAATATTTAAATGGAAAGAGATTTTATTTTGGAAATATCAAGTATATCTTGGATATCCTTTGATCTGCCTTTTGAAAGTAAAATTATATGGAAGTTAATTAGTATGAATATTGTTAATACTTCTGTAGCGGTGAGCAGCTATTCCCGTATCATGGCCATTTTATTGAGAGCAGCCTTGTGGAGAAGGACTTGGGGTTACTGGTGGATGAAAAGCTGGACATGACCTGGCAATGTGTGCTCACAGCCCAGAAAGCCAGTCACATCCTGGGCTGCATCAAGAGAAGCATGACCAACAGGTCAAGGGAGGGGATTCTGCCCCTTTGCTCTGCTCTGGTGAGACCCCAATTGGAGTAATGTGTGCAGCCCTGGAGCCCCCAGCACAAGAAAGACATGGACCCATTGGAGGGGGTCCAGAGGAGGTCACAAAAATTACCAGAGTACTGGAACACCTCTCCTACAAAGACAAGTGGAAAGAGTTGGGATTGTTCAGCCTGAAGTATAGAAGGCTCTGGGCACAACTTATTGTGGCCATCCAGTACTTAAAGGGTGCTTACAAGAAAGATGAGAAAAATCTATGTAGCAGGGCCTGTTGCAATAGGACAAGAGGTAATGGTTTTAAATTAAAAAAGGATAGATTTAGACTAGATATAGGGAAGAATTTTTTTTTTCGATTAGGGTGGCAAAACACTTGAACATGTTTCCCAGAGAGGTGATAGAAGCCCCACCTAAGGAAACATTCAAAGTCAGGGTGGACGGGGCTCTGAGCAACTCAATCTAGTTAAAGATGTCCCTGCTCACTGCACAGAGATTAGACTAGATGACCTTTATGATTCTATGGTTATCAACAAAAGCACAGTGACAATACTAACTGCTCGATCTTCCTTACAATTCTTTGTCCAATTAGCACAAAGGTTATTCTTTTACTTACATGTGAATAACTAGTGCTTGTTCCTTCAACCAGTGGAGCAGAAGGGGCTAGATTCTTATCACAGAAGGGCTCTTTACCCTGTTCTTGTAGCTGGGATTGTCACTATATCAGGAGATTAAAGTACACTTCTGCAGTGCATATATCTACGGCTCTTTACATGCCAGAAAAATTAAGGTATAACTAGGCATCAAGTGCTGTATTTGTTATATTAAGTTAAGAAAATTTGCATCTATTCCCGTGAAGAGGCCATCATCTTATTATTTAATCATAAACAAAATGCTCTTTGGAGATGCTAATCCATGATGTTTGTGGAGTTAGGTAAGTAACCATGGATACAGGATGCTTTGAAGACTTCAAGGAATTGGGAACATGCTGTTAAATATGTCTCTGTGGTGTTAGTCACTGATAATTAGTTCTGCCTTTTCTTTGCCGACTTTTGAGAGACGGGATCTTGATAATTAGTTATCTGTAATGTATGTGGTTAATATGATGCTATGAGACTAAGACTCTTTTAATAATATTTAGGAAAGATGGATCAAAAGAGCCAATAGTGGAAATGAGAACAGAGGATGAAAGAATTACCAGTCATGAAGATGGGAGTCCAGTAAATGAGCCAAATGAGACAACTCCTCTCACAGAACCAGAGTAAGTAGTCTGACATTCCCTGGAGTTTCACAGAAGCTCCTCCTGGATGTAAGGATGGACTTGGCTTCCTGCACTCTGGGAGGGAAAACAAACAATTATTTTTTTTTTAATTTTACAGTAATCAGTCTAAATCACAGTAACCCACACACAACAGCTGAGGTTATCACTAGACATTTTTCTGGTCTTTCTGTGACCCAGAGTACAACCACATTTGTGCTTGGAAGGCAAGACTGCAAGAGCGGCAGTCTTGCAGCGTACCTTTAAGCCACCACTTGTTCGAACGTTAGCAAGTATCCAGGGAAAGTTTCTGTCCCTCTCTGCTGCCAAGTCCCAATAAGCTCCTCCTGTGCTCTTGGTCAAAACAGACCTTGTGTCAGGGTAAGGGGGTATGAGTAGACTTGCCCTGCCCTCTCTATCCCCCTGGTTACCCCTGCCCAGGGGCGACGAGCCCCACATCAGCTCTGGCCTCATTAGCAGCCCATGCCCAGCTCTGGACCTAGTGGGACATAGACCCACACCCCGCTGCTGCCCCCAGCTCTGCCCACTGCATTCAGGGGCTGGAGGATGAGGCCAAGGGCTCTGCCTGCACTCTCAAGCTGCCCCATAGCTTGTCCCTGATGCTCCTCTGCCACTCCTGGCTTACCTTCAAGCCCTGTGGGGAACCACAGCCAGCAGAGACAGATCATAGTCCTGCCACCTTCTTTCTCAGCCCCAGCACTCACAGTCACCTCACCCCCTGAGCCCTCCTGCCCCTGCAGTGGTGGCCAAGCAGAAGTACAAGGTGGTTTTTTTCAGTTGGGTGCTGCTGATCTTTACCAACTACACAGTTATTAACCACTCTGTGGGAATTATCTCCTTACTCTGAGGAATGTCCTCAGATCCAAGTCAGACACACAACCCCATGCACAGCCTGTATCTAGGGCATGTGATCCTGTGCTCCAGAAATCCAGCTCCTCACTGGGTGGTCCCTTGCTGCTTTGTTCACGTGTTCAGTATTTAATTCCACATGATGTAATTAGAGTAATAGTGCTGAAGGGCAGTCACTTTGCTCAGTTCCCTCATGCCCCTTCCCGTCCTTGCAAGCTGCTCTCAGCACAAAAACTGCAGCGGTTCTCGCCCAGGCTTCATCTGCCTCCTGAGTCACAGGGACCAGCCTTTGACTCAGGGGTCCCAGACTTTGGCAGTCAGGTCCTCTCCTGTGTTTTACGCTGCAGTCCAGATTAAACTGGGTAGAGTTCCTGGTGTTTGTACCTAAATAGTACTTTTCAAAATCTATGTGGAGGATAAAGTAATGTTTGTGATAGAGCACAAGCAAGCTGATATTTTGCTAAGTTTACTATTACAATCAGAGCTTCTAATATGCTTTTTTTTTCTTCTGGAAATTTAGTTGGAAGAGAAACTAATATTTCAACAAAGGTGATGACAGTACCATCCTTAATATTGAGAGCCCTCCTAGTATTGTTAAAGGACATGAACTGATTGCTCAAGAGTTTAATTTCTGATCCTCAAAAGCTGATTGACCTGAAATTATTGAAGAAATCTCCAAGCTTCTTTGGTTTGAGCTCAGAGATTTTCACGTATTGTGAAAATCTCCTAACTCATGAAATCTGAAAGCTGTCAGGGTTATGAAGACTCTTCTGCAGTAAATATAGAAACTCACCTGTTGATTATTTGATGGCTTCACAGTTGTCATTTAAAAGGAGAGGATGTTCTTTCTCTTTCTGAAAATACAATATCGCCTTCCTTGCCATTATCTAGAACTGCAAACTCCAGAACCTTTAATATGAAAAAGCCTGTGTTACTGACTATCATTGGCATTTGGGGGAGGGGGGAGGGGAGGAGGCGGAGGGGTGCAGTTATGTAACTGCACGTTAAGCTGTATACTTCTTTAAAGAACCTGCACCTGAAGACTTGAAACTTGTCTTAATTAAATAATTATGTGGGCTTTTTCGATGATTAATGATATGTTTGCTCTTCATATTAGAATTTATAATGAGGGGCACTCTAGAGAGCCCACAGTTAGGTAAGGAGTCGGGAGAATGCAGTTGCAAGCATTGTACAAATCCAGTGGACTTTGGCTATGTTAGCAGGTAAGGCACTAGGGCCACATTTTTTCGTGCTTCAAGACTATGTGTAGCACTAGATCTTGCAAATACAAATGAGATGCATCTAGCAAGGGATATGATACCAGGAAAGATTAAGTTTAGTTCGTCCTGCTTGTCTCACTCATGAAGAACAGATGACAGGAGTGAAATATAAGAAAATTAAAATAAAAAAATGTTTTATTATCATAGGGGAGGGGGAGATAATCAGTCACTGGTAGCATGAAACAAAAACTAAATCACAGGAATACCTGATAAGGGATTTGATTAGTATTATGTTCTTGGGAGAGTAGGACTGCTAAGAGATATTAATAATGGTGATAGTTTCCTTGTCTGTACTTTCTGCTCCTACACCTGATGGCAACAGGCAGCGGTCCAAGGTACAGCAGGACAGAGGTCAGCTAAAGATTCAGGACAGCGGCACTTAGGAAACCAAGGATGAATAGAGCATTATGGAATCAGGACATCTGAAGGGAAGCTGGTGCTAGGGGAACATGGAAAGACCTTCTGCTTAGACACAGGTTATAGCTGATGCAATGGAGAAACAATATAAAGTGCAGAGGAGATGCCAGTAAAGAAAAGGATAACTCAGTAGAGTGGAAATACCTCTCCCAGTAGAAATATCCCCAAAGTACATTGTCAGCAACTCGGACTTTCAGCCAGAAAGGCAGGGGACAATGGGCAGAGCAAGGATGACGAGTGAGGATCTTAAAGGGGAAAGCTTAGCTTGTAGGAAGGCAAAGTTTCAAGGACATTCCAGGCAGGCAATGTTCAAACAAGGTGGGATCAATTCTGACTGTTTATGGCTGTCTTAAAGGTGTACAAAATAAGCCTTCAGTTTAAATTAGATCAAATATTTAGAAAAATTATTTGAAGTTCTTTGAATAATACCAAATTAAACTCAGAAGCTTAAATGCAATTTGAGCATTTGTGGGAAATAATTAATAAAGACATTACTTCCTATTACAATAATAGAGTATTTTCATTATATTGGTTAGCATAGTATTCAGCAGTCTACCTTTTTTCTTTACTCAGGTGATTCTTGTCAAAGCCAAGTTTGGGATTCGTGTGTGTTGGATGAGCACAAAGCACTTTTACCTGCAAGTCAACAAGTTTTAATAATGCTTGCAGGAACTAAATTTAAGATGTGCATTTCATAGTACATTTTTGTAATATGATTAAAATACCACATGAAATGTGGTACTATAATTAAATTCCTAGTCTGACATTATTGTGTTTCTACTATTGATTGAGTTTTTTATTACCATTTATGAAGCTGGGTGAATTCCAGTATCAAAGTGGCTAGGAGCCATTTTCATAAAAATTAGGAAAATAAATATTCCAGTTAAAGTTTCTGATCAGTAACAGCAGCAGATTGTTGCAGTTAAGCCACATGCAGTGGCTTAATTGAGAAAATCAATATTATTAATGATTGATAATAGCCAGCATCTGTTTAAAGCAAAAATAAACCCCAACTTTTAAAGTTCTCTAGTATTTTTGTGGGTTTTTTTTTTAAAAAGCTGTTATTATAAAATATTTTAAAATTCGGAAGAATTAGTCTGCCTAGCTGAAAAATATAAAATCATTTCAAATAGATGTAGGTAAAGGAAAATCAAGTGTAGAAAAATTGGTGTAATTAGAATATTTAAACTTCACTTAGTTAATTAAAAGAGGGTAATGATTGAGTCTGTTACTTAAATATGAATTAGTATTTGAAACACAATGAGAAGAAAATTCCAAAGTAACAGTTGTCATAATCAAAAAAGATAATGTATAACTATAACTGAACTGATAATTTCATATTATATCCAAAAAAACCCCACAAATTTTTAAAGACAATAAAGTCAGAGAATAGTGGATGGAGTTTTCGATGAGGAAAGCTAGGAAAATATTTTATTTGTTTGTAGTTTGGATTGGTTTAGTTTTCCTTATTTGCATTGAAAGCAGGGCTCATTTTATTACCCTGTTTGCGTAAACATGGATTTCAGTAATATCTAGTTTCCTTCAACAGCCTTCTATCAAATTTGTCCCATTTCAAATAATTTGAAGTTATTTGTTACATGCTCATAATCGACTTCTCCAAAACCAATTTGTTTAAATTCCCATGCAGCACATTGTCAGTTGACCAGCTTTTACTTTGACTAAATATTTCCTCCCTTTCAGCAACATCTTTAGAGAAATTTTTCAAAGTATTAGTCATTTCTGAATATAAAGGAGAAATTTATATAAGCCTTTATATAAAGCTAGATTAAATTAGCTCTTTTTTTAAAAAAAATACTACTTTAAGTGCTTTGCATTATCAGGCCTTTAACACAGGTACCTACTTACCTAAAATCATCTAATGAGCCGTGCTTCCTCTGACTCCATGTTTTATCCTCTTTTAAAAATGGATTTATGTTGATTCTGCTATTTTCATTATTTCAGGCAATGTATTGCGGGCTGAAATCTTTTTCCTTTTGGTGTGCGATATGAAACAAAGAATTACTAGAGACCTCCCTCTGTGCTCAAAGCCAGACAACTGATATATATCCCACATATTTCACTGTAATAGAACAAATTAGTCTTCTCTTTGACTTAGATATAGGTTGTGCTTATTGTCTAACTTCTAGATAAACAGCATCTTTCTTAGTTCATTTCAGTCAGTCTAAATTTCATAAGACTGGGAATTTGGGAATTGCTTTGTTTTATTAGTTATTATTAAACACTGTTATTACAAGACATTCCTAAGGGATTCCTCAGCCCGGTTTTGAACAACACATTGCTCTTTGGGACATCAAAGCAATCACAGTGGAAGTTTACTGAAACATTTAACAGTTATTATGAGTAAAAAAGGCATACACATACTATAGCCCAGTTAAAAAACAGAAAGCAAACCCAAACTGTACTCATGATTAACGACTGTTATGCCCAGGAGACATTATTACAGGAACATCTGAGTAAACCATACAAATTTTTGACAGCTATGTTTTTTGACAGCTGAGTACTGTCAGCAGGGAATCAATGATTTTTAAGAACTTTTTGAATTAATTCAGTGCTTTGTCTTTCCTGTAAAGTAAGGTTGGGGTCTCTTTTGCCATTGGAATTAAGGCTTATAAAACTCTTCAGAGTATTCACTAGGTTAGTCTTAAAAGAGCTGTAAGTTACTAACACAGCTAGATTGTGTGATCCAGCAAAAATAAATTGTAGAAGTTTCTAAATAATAAAATAACTTCCATTACCTCCATGTGCTATAAGAAGTTCTTTACCTATGTCTTGACATAACCTCCAATTAAAAAATGTCTTCTTTCATATATAATTGAATTTACATTTAAAAACAGACATAAAATAAGAGAGTGTTATCTAGAGTCATCAAAAGTCTTGACTGAAAGTGATTCATGGTATCCTGGGGAACCCATTCCTCTGTACTGTCTTGTGTCAGGTTATTCAGCATTCTGTTGTTCTTTTGTCCTATTGAAGAAATTGCATTTTGGACAGAAGCAATGTTGTTATCATGTGCCATTTAACGTTTTCTGGCTTTATAGAAATGGAGAGTTAATATGAATTTCTTTAAAAGCAAAGAACTTGGGTACTCAAAATAATTATATATTATTTTCAATAAATTCTATTTTTAGAAACACTATGAACTGGATAAGTAATACATGCATCGCATACTTAAATTCCAGATTATGTGTTATTTGTTTATTGCCATAATTCCTCTTTTTCTTCTGATAGGAAACTGCCACTAAAGGAGGAAAATGGGAAAGAAGCTTTAAATCCAGAAACCATAGAAATCAAAGTTGCTAGTGACATCATCCAGTCAAAAGAAGATGATAGCAAAGCATAATAAGATAAACTACAGCTGTCTGGATAATGCATTTGGATTGAAGTAACCACGTGACCAAAACTTTACAGCTGACCTTAATTTCTTGGGAAACTTAAGCTTGGAATAGTTAGTACATGTGTACATATGATGAAACAGTTTCTGTCTACGGTTCCTTTCTATTTTTTTGTTAATCGGTTTAGGATGTAGTTTCGCTGACACCAAGTCCCATGGTATAAATTTGAAAAAGCTGCAGAATAAGAACTGTAATTTATTACATGACAAACTATATCTATTTAGAAGAATAGTTACAAAGCACCCCTAGCCACAAACAATACATCAGGTCTCTCCAGATCTTACAGTGCAAGCTGCATACATAAAGTGCCATATACTACTGTATTTGTTTCCAGTTATAATAAAACAGAAGTTTAGGTTGCCTTTAAAGAAAAAAAAAAGAAAACCAGTCTCAGTATCACGTTTAAGACCTTAGCACTGACAGACACTCAGTAGTCATTCCAGCTATGCTTATCACTTGAAGCAAACAATAAAAAGACACTCTTCAGCATAGCTCCACCTGCAGTTTCACCTGGGTTCTAAAAGGATAGCCACAACGTACAAATTTAAACAAAATATAGCAGTATGTTGGCCTCATCCTAACTACACGAGTGTGACTCTGAAAGGCTCCAGGATTTTTAGTGCTTCAAGTTTTCTGTATTAAAGTTTGGAGGTTGCATGTGAACTAAAATGCAGCAAAGAGGTGAAAAGAAACTCTTTTGATCGTAACCTTGACTTCAAGTGAAACCTTAGAATAAACACAAGCTCAAGTTATTTGTCCCAACGTACTTATACATATACAGTATTCTTCTTCTAGTGCTAATCATTTAGTCAAGGGATAAAACTGCATTTTAGTGTAGTAGCTATGTTTTCTCCCCAAAGCAGTACATGAAATATTTAAAGTTGTCCTTATTAAAGTAGCATTTGTTCCTTTATGATTTCATAGCCTTTGTCTTAACAAAAAAACAGAAGAGCAGATGAAAATCCAGGCTTTGAATAAACATACAGTTGGGAAGTTTAAAATTATTAATTAATAGCATCTTGTATTAGATCAAATACATTTTTTCATGTTGAGAATTCCATAAAATAATCCTTTCTATTACTCTGGTTATCATGCACTACTCAGAAATTTGATTTATTTGATGCAAAATTCATTCATATTTAATATGATTGATTTAATAGTGCCACTAATTGCAACAATATATTTTGATACCATTCAAGCATAGTGTATCCACACCTACCAAACTCTTCAAAGTTCTGCTTTAGAAGAAGTCAATAAACGGTACAAAAAAAAATAGACTGAAAAATTCTGCTTATCAGGAGTACATTGTAGACTACCTTTTGGATGTTCCACATCTAAGTCATACGTGAAGTTTAATTATAGCTTTACTCAGCAAATTATGTCCTCTCCATTCTATATCTGAATTTTGCTCATATATGAAGTCCCTATATTTCCCAATTTCCCACAGAATGTCATCGACCCTTAGCTGATATTTTATAGTCATTGGCAAAGTGGTTGACTTTTGTGCAGTAAAGCTGAAAGTGAAATGTAAAAGAGTGTCTTTAAATTTGAGAAAATGGAAGATTAAGGTTAAAGCATGTTAACCCAAGCTTTAGTGCATTTCCAAGAGCTGAGGGGGATATATTTGTTTCATAGATCTTCCTTATTTTTCACGACCAATTGTTTTTTGGTGGGTTTTTTTTTCAACTTTTCCTCACTTTGGGAAATACCTATAATGTACCAAGTAGTTGAGGACAGAGGCATACCACTGGTGTGGCTGGAATAAGAGGGCAACCCCCACAAAACCAGTACCAAAGTGAAAAGAGTGGATAAGAGGAGATAGCAATGTGGGAGGAAAGTCATGAAAGAGAATCACTTAAAACTGCTGCAAAGAAATGTCTCTAAATGTTAAGGCACTATTTCTGGGTGAAGGAAATATGAAGATGTTCCTTTATTACCTCTCACTGTTTCTTCCACATACTGAGCAGGCAATACTACTAAATAGCTGCTTGTCTGTTAAATTTCTGTTCTGTTTCTTTCTGAGTAAGTACACAGTGAGTAGGATTGATCTCTAACTTATAATTAAGAGAACCAGTTGTCTCATTTATATATATATGAATAAATATTCTTTCTACAAAGTATGTATTTGCAGCTGGGCTTTCTCCCTCTATCAAAATGCAAGGAAGGGACCTGGAAAATTCCAGCAGTTGAGAGTAAGTGTGGCTTGAACATCTGCAGCCCACATCATCTCACACAGTGTTTTTACCAGGATGAGGATGAAAGTAGGAAACATCCTTTCTTCTTCTACCTGTCATCATGAAGTTAGGTGGTGCCATACATATTCACATAAGTTTCACTAGGGAAATGGTGCTTTTTCTGAAGCCAGCAGGATCATTTGCACAAGGTTCCTGTACAACGTGGGCAGAGCTAGCAGTGTCTAGGCTCAACTGTAGATGCATTTCAAATTTTGGTACTTCTTATTGAGACTTCTGCAAAAAAAACCCTTCATGGCCTAACAGCTGTATATTGGGGATTGAGGGTTTTGTTTTGTTTTTTCTAATAGGGTCTCTAATTACAATGTGAAGAGATTATAGAATTTAAGAGGTCTTGACAGCACATTTTTTATTAATAGGCCTGTGCTACTCTTTACAAGTAAAATATACTGCAAAATTATTTCAATATTGGAAGCAAAAGCATTTCCCACTGTATTGGATTACAAATCAAATGCTATTTCCAGGAGTATTTATTTTCTTCCTGCTGTTAGGTCTCTTGCCAGTTGGGCTATATGGGAGTTGAGAATTAAACAGTTCTAAATTACTGATGGACTGTTCCAATCTTGTGCTTTGACTCTGTGCTGTGCAGAAGAAAGCCAAAGTGTAACTATGAAAGAATGCTTAAAACCACTGATTTTTGCAAATGTTTCCAAATGAGGGACAGCGCATAGTAATTTGTAAGATATGTGTAGAACTGGAATAACATCATTTCTTTATTTTCTTTTCCTATTCTAGACTAAAAAAAAACACAAACAAAAAACAGGTATCTGTATAAATGTCACTTTTACTGTCTAAAAGTAATTTTAAGTGTTAGTATGAAATGTCAGAAGAGTTGACAAAATACAACTATTTGTAAAAGTAATCTGAATTGTTACACTAACATGCTCTAGGGGCAAAGGTGGGAGGGAGCCAATTAAATTATTAATTATATGGAAAGTGGCAGTGACAATCTCTTTTCAACAAAAATAAAGAGTAAAAATAAGTAAAATTATTTATATTTCTTAGGTTTGGGGTTTTATTTTAATGTTGGGGTTTTTTTTAATAGACTTGCCTTCTGATTTACCACAATAGTAGCAGGAGTTTAATTAATGTTTTACAATTAGTATACAAAGTTACTCTGGAGAGATTTTTTTCTGGTTTTGTTTATTTATTTGTGGGGATTTTTACTTTTTTGTGGTCACAGAAATATTTACTATTCTAGTGATACTAATGCCTAATGTGACAAAGATTAATTTATTTGGGCCTCAATCTTGCAGGAAATTTTGTGTGGCTGAACCCATCCCTTATATGCCACCCCACTGACATCAGTGGGGTCGATGTGAGCAGGAGGATGGATGTACTTTCATAGGAGAGCTTGCAGAATTGAGCCTACTTCCTATCTTTTCATAGATATATACAACATAGTTACACAGTGACAGTCATCTACAAAGGCTGTTTGACAACAGTCCCTCATATAGTAAAATCCACCTGCTGTCTTCAGCCTCTGCATTGCTGTTCATCAAAAAAAGTGGCTTTCTTTTTATGATGGTAATTACTTTGATTATTTATTTAAGTGCCAATCATCAAACTGTAGTACAATAATCATGCCATTTTTCTGTTTCCTGGACTGGATAATGGAAATGTATTTGTGCCTTTTGATAGCATGCCACACTGCTTTATTAAAGAAAAATCTTCAATAATTTGTCTACAAAGCCTGTTTAAAATATCTGAAAGCTTTACATGACATAATTTTCTGCTCAAATATGCTCAAATACTCATCTAAAGTAAACTGGAAATAATATTCTCAAGTCACATAAATATTTTAAATACAAAATTTGGAAAAATATATTGAGATCACAGTTCTAGTGAGGGTCATAGCAGGTGTAGTACTACTGAGAAGATTCAAGTAGATGGAGAACATGGGGAATGTGTAGGGGTGTTTTGACCAATTTATCAAGTTAAACAGTCAGATAGAAGGTCTCTTTAGTTCTATTTAGGTACTTAGACATAAAATATTAAAAACTTTTTTCGAATCTGAAAGACAATGTGGAACATCTTCCCACCATTTTACAGTAAAACTGCAGTGAATATTTGTTTCACAGTCATTTGTGGCCTCACCATTTATGTGTAAGCTGTCATAAGAAGTAATATCTTTGTAAAATAATTGCTGTACCTGTTGAGTGATACTCCTGATTAAAAAAATCTGAAAAAGGCCATTTACTGAAAAACCTCAAGACCCCTATTATGAATTGATACATATGGAGGGGTGCTGAGAATGCTGCAAGCGGGGCCACAGTGGAATATGGGTCTCTCTGAGCTTTAAGACACAAACTGACTTCAGTGGGGCCTGAATTTCATCCATCCATCCATCCATCCATCCATCCATCCATCCATCCATCCATCATATCAGCGAGATTCTGTGTGTCCTTGGCTGACTGAATCACTTTTGTGAATTGGACTTCTAGGTCCAATGAATTGGCACTTCAATATCCTGCCAGGCTCCTGCTGACATTTTGGACAGAGGAGGTTTTTTTAATCAACACGGATCAGGAAACATTGATAAAAATATCTGGTCACATTTTAATCTCATACATTACTATATGCCCAGAAATAGATGAAACATCCCTCAAAATAATTTGTTGTGATTGTGATACTTCCTTAGGCAATGATGAAAATATTTCAAGAAATAATATTTCTTAAATCTCTTTGTTTAATGTCAGATCAATGCAAAACTACCGTGGTTAATTTTTTTTTTTTTCAAAAATGTTCCACCCCCTTTTTCAGATTTTTTCATATAATTTCCTGGAGTACCTATTCCACTTGACAGCAGTTCTGTAGTAGTGGGGAGAAACCACTCACTAAGTTTTAAGTGATCTTCAGTAGTTCCACAGCACATATTAATGTATTCTTATATCATTTTATTTGAACCTTAGCCAAAATTTCTATTATAAATTTGGCATTGGATCAGGTTCTGGGAAATAACAGTTTACCA